GAACCTTCGAAACCAGCTTACCCTTATGTAGTTATCAATTAATTATCGAAACTGCTTTTATTTCGATTAGGAAAAGTTAATTTTATAATATCGAAGAAAATGCGGGACAAAGGCAGGACACTTGAAAAAAATCAGAACATTTTGGGGGTTTGCTGTTTTGAAAAACTACGCAGGAAAGACCTTTAAATAACAGTACGGCCCTGCAAAAAACAGAACGGATGGTCACCGTAGTTATAACAAGCATATATTAATGATTATATAACTAGTTGTTTGCGCTTTTTTGTCTTCCCCAATATTAAGTAACTTTGCTGGAACAGATGAATGCAATTCAGATACATACCTACATGCATACAGACGTATGCACATATGTACATACGTATATGTGTATAAACACATAGATGTATGCATACATGATCTACTTGAAAATTTATTTGTCATCAATCTGTGTATGTATTGCGCGTTAATGAGGAAGCAAATGCAAACAAAGCTATGTTAAAGCTAAGCTACTACAATTCCATGCGAAATCTCTCTAAAGGTGAAAATTGTCAACAAAATAAACTTACAAACTGTAGCAGACTACAACAACGACAACAACAACGGCACAAAGATGATGTTCACACGCGCCCAAGTGCGCAAACCAAAATCAAATGGTCACAGCAGCAGTCAGAGGCCGCAAGTGCGCACTTCCCATAGACCTCACCTTATGCAACAACAATCACTATATGGATGCGATGTAAAGTATTTTGAATCACCTCCAACATACATATGCACGTAACTGAAATTCACAACCTCTCTTTGCTATTCAAGCAGCCACTGTACAGACATTCACCCCCTGGAGGAAATAGTCGCATTCGGGATCGCGATAGAGACAGGGATCGGGACAGAGATAGGGATACGGACCGAGACCGAGACCGAGACAATGAACGCGACCGGGACTACAGTGGCGCTTACTACACCGATCGCAGCAACTTCGGTGGTCACAAGCCCCATTCGTACGAACTGCCTCGACAACACTCCAAAGACAAAGCCTACGCCCAGCTGTACGATGACGAGAGCGAGCGGAGCACCAGCAGCAGTGGCGTCGATTATATAGACCGGCGCACCCGACCGCGCAGCATTACAAACCGACGCGGCGCCATCAAACAGCTGAAGTAAGTTTTGCCCCGAAATATTTAATAAAATATTTTTTTTTACTAGCCTCATTTTATTTAAAGTGGTATTTACTTTTGCTGTTTCTTATATTTATTTTTTTTGGCTCATTAGAACACACGACTACAATGGGCATCGGTTTGTGGCCAAATTCTTCCGACAGCCCACATTTTGCGCATTCTGCAACCTGTTCGTTTGGGGATTCGGCAAGAAGGGGTATCAGTGCATTAGTAAGTCAATTATTTATGTTTAAAATCGGTTTAGTCATCTGAAAAACAACATCATTCCATTCATTCCACTTTTTACAGCTTGTCAGACGGCGGTGCACAAGAAATGCCACGAGAAGTTGCTGAGCAAATGTTCCGGTTCCGTATTCAACTCGGCCAGCACAATCGTAAGTGTCCTCCAAATATTATTAGACTGTAACGGTAAACGTAAAGTCAATCTCAATCTTCTAGCTGCTGCACGAGCGTTTCAAGATCGACATGCCCCACCGCTTCAAGCCGTACACTTTCATGTCGCCCACTTTCTGTGACCATTGCGGTTCTCTGATGGCTGGCTTCTTCATTCAGGGGTTGAAGTGCGAAGGTGAGTCGTTGCAGGGTTGAAAAAATACATACATACATGATTTCATAGCACACACACACACACACACATCAAACTATAGCCGCCACCGATTCGTCACTTTTTTGCATGTAAAAGCAACAACAATGTTAGCTAGCAAGGATGAACGATCTGTCCACCTATCTCGGCTAACTGTTGGCGAATCGATGACGGAAACGAAACTTTGGCACACNCATTTTTTACTAAACTTGAATGGGCTGCGTACCTACTTCAGTTTTTTCTATTGAATAATTCAAATGTTAAAACCGGTATTTTGAAAATTTTAGTACAAATTTTTTGTTATTTTACGCATATCGGTGAGGGCGACACCTATTCCATTAGTAAATTGAGCACAGGTCGGTGCGGCATCTGCCGATGAATAGCAGATATTTCATACCTTAACAACATTATCCAACACATTGCACAGTGGTTGGTTCATGTCTATTCTAGTATTAGAACTAGAGATGGGCACAGGACTAAATATTTAGTGCCGATCCCGCCCATCCCGAAATGCAGTTTTTAAGTCCCGAACCCGGCCATCACGACGTTTTCCACAATTGTACCGTGGGTCCCGAAATCTATCACTAAGAAAAATTCACATGTCCTTTAAATTAATTTTAAATAACAAAAAAAAATAATGAAAGCTCTGGCATCCTCCGATTATTTTGTTTTGTTTTGCTGTTCGTTTTCGTCCCAATAAAACATAAAAAAGTGCATAATTCACACATCGTTTTTAAGGAAGATTTTCCGAATTTGCTGAGGTTGCGGTTTTATCGGAAGTGCAGGGAAAGGATTTTGGTCACGTCCCGCCCGCAAACTTTCAGACCTTTCCGATACCGCAAACCCCTCGAATCCTTCTTGAACATTACGTTGTCTCAGTTTATGTATTTTTGAAGTGGCTTCAGCATCAAATAACTTTATATCTTAAGTTTAATAAGCCTAGAATGCACTAGTTTTCACTACTGCAATATGAAATATGTTTTTTGTTTGTATTAAAGTGTATTAAATGGTTTCAACAAGATTTTTTATCTATGTACTAACTGTACTTTACTACATGAACGACCATTTGTAAAGGGGAATTTTTTTGTCTAAAGATATCGCACCAAATTAGAATGGGTGTAAATGCTGTTTCGGTGATATGCATATGTATATGTATCAGCATATATGCATATCTCGCCAGCCAGGCTATTTATAAAATTATAGACGAACATATTTTGGTTTTCCCATAAGGTTAACATTACAACCCAAATGTTTAAAACGTTTTTTTTTTCTCGAAATCAGGTTTTTCGACTTAGGCGGATATTTGTTATGGCCACAGGTATTATGTACATATCCTCGTTTAAAGCAGGGTTGGTGCGAATATTCGCATTCGCATTCGCAACCGCGGAGCTTCCGCATTAATTTTAACATTCGCATTCGCTTTCGCATTCGCGAAAATCAATGCGGACCTTTTGCGAATGCGAATATTGAAGGGACCAAAAATTACAGTTATTTTTTTTACGAGTTAAAACTTGGCCAAATATTTTTTGATCCGAAATAAACGTCCTATCCGGATAATAAACAAACCGCTTATCCAAATTAAACAAGTTTGGTATCCAATGAAAGAGGACTGAAATAGCTTTAAAACTGAAATGTCGAAACGAGGAAAGCCACACATTAAAAAATATTTCAACAAAAAATGTTAATTAATTACCATAGAACAAACATTGGGTCAGGTATGTATTTACATGAATTTCTTTAGTATTAAGTTATAAAAAAATTTAAATAGAGATGGTAACCTTCATTCGTTATCTCTGTTTAAAAACTATTTCAGTCCACTTTCATATCATACCAAATTTGTTTAATTTGGATAAGCGGTTTCTTTATTACACGGAATTTCGGAATAAAATATATTAGCCCAAATTTAACTCTCAAAAAAAATAACTGTTAATTTCGGTCCTTGGAATATTGTGCAAGTGCACAGACGAATATCGAACCAGTCAGAGAAGAAAGCATTAAAAATGAGTTACAAAAACTAAAATCGAAAAACGCTGATGACGTGACAGTTTCTCCAAATTCCGAAACAACCAAAAGAATGAGAATAAATAATTCTTTGGAAAAAAACGGTGTCTTAACAACGATTGTGCCATGATGCTAGATTGTGAAGATGAAAGTCAGGAGGATACATCCGACATTTGCAGCCCCGATGAAATTCTCAAAAAGTAACTATTGCACCGCAATAAAAATAAATAAATATAACTGAAAGTCCTCTCAACTGGTGCAGTGTCAGTCGAAAATAATTTACAATTTGGC